TCACAGCACACCAGAAAGATTCTCTCCCCACAATGAAAAACAAACAAAACACTGCCAGGGGCGAACATCTATCTGTTCCGAAGGTCAGCCTGTGCTTTCTAAAGCAGTTAGAGAAATGAGCTAATTACTCAGGTATTTCATGGGAAATGCATTTCTTTGGCTTGACCAGCTCACATCATTAGCCGCTTCTCCACCTCCACTCAGCTGCTTGCTCCAGGGGCCAGACGTGCCGCCTGTGTGGCCCGATGAACGGCCTGGCAAACGGAGAGTTTATAAGAACTTTTCTGTATATTTATTATTCTTCCATTGGAAAATACACCAATAAAAAAGCTTAGTGAATTTTTACAAGTGGGTTGAGAAGTGGAATGCTTCCGACACCCCCGAGGGCCCCCCCTAATGACGAAAAAGAAGAATTTAACTATAAAAGAAAATCCCAGGCTAGTGGTTGCCAGATTTCTGCTTGGTTTTTGAGAATTTACATTCATCATTCAGCAAGTAGAAGACGCAGGATTTGAACACAGGCCTGTCTGACCTCAGAAACTGGAAAACAGTATCAGGCCGAATGCTAAAAATCAGGCTTTCCTGAGGCCTCTGTGCAGTTACTCGCAAGCTCCCGCGTCAGAGGTCCACGCTCACATTTAATTTACTGGTGCCTTATCTGCCTCGTTCTGTTTGGTTTGGCCGGCAGCCTGGTAGAAACGAGAGAGAAGCTAACAGAAAAATCAAATAATGTGGTAAGTTCTCTGCTGGGAAGTCTGCAGGGCTGGAGAGTGTTGCTGAAGGCCATTCAACCCTGGGGGGCACTGCTATTAGCCATTGTGCCGCCGGCCACAATGCGATTGATGGACACGGACCTGACTATGCTGCGGGTCCCGGCTCTGCCTCTCACCTCCCGGTAGCCTGGTCAAGATGATTCACCTGCCCCGTGAGCTAGATTCCTTTCCAAAGGACAAGACGACGATAGTGCCCATCTCACAGGGTTCTGGCAAGAATTCGGTGAGTTTATGTGTTCAACGTCCGGCACATAATAACGCCACATAATGTCTTTATTATTTTTTATTGACTGGCTTCCCAAATGAGTGTTCTGAGATGAGAAACTAGCTTTTCGGTGGGAAGCTTTGCCTCGTTCTCCATTTCGTCATTGGTTCTTTCTGGTTTCTAGATTTGCGTTCGTTCTCGAAAGGCCCAATGTTAACTGTGGAGTCTTGACGTCCTGATAGGAAATGGTGATGGGAAAGAAACTCTGGGGGTGCTGGTTTTTGTTCTTGAGACACAGGCAGTGCGTGTTGGGTGGGGTGGTTCTCCACGTTTGATGCGCATCATAATCACCCCGGGGATTTTAAAAATTTCAGATGCCCGGCGTTTACCTCTGATGGACTGGATTTCCAGAGAACGAGCCGTTTTCCTCAAACTCCACGTTGGGAACCGACATTCACCAGCTGTGAGGATCAGGTGTCTTACAGACTCTTTGTCACAACGAAGTCACTTATTCACTCGACACGTGTTTGTTATTGGCCAGTGTGACATGGTAGGCCCTGCTTTCTAGGGGGAGAAATGGATGATCATTCAATGAATTAACAAGGACATATAAAATAGCCATGAGATTTGTAATCAAGCAATACTTCGTGGGAGTGACTGGGGTCTTCTTTAGAAAGAGCAGTCGAGGAAGTCATCTCTGAGGACTGAGCTGGAGCTTGAATGATAAGAAGGGGCCCATCATGGGACGATATGGGGGGAGGGAGGCTGAAGGCTGGGGAAACGGCAGGTGGCCAGGCCCGGGGGCAGGAA